ACAGGAAGATAGGAGTTATGAAAACCACAAATCAATATGTGTGAGATTTACATTGGTTTGACTCAGGAAGGAGGGACATCTTCAAGCAGGGGCTTACAGGCCCTAGGTGGATTAGAAGGTTTCCTAGTTGCGAACTAGTAGCAAGAATTAGGCTTTATCTTAAGGAATTTTGAGATCAGTAAAGGAAATGCATGAGATAAGGGGTGTTTTGAGGAAGTTTCTTTCTTTTTTTAAGCATTCTATCTTTAATCTTTTTTTTTTTTTGAGTTGGAGTCTCACTCTGTTGCCCAGACTGGAGTGCAGTGGCTGCTCCCGGTCACCGCAGCCTCGACCTGCTGGGCTCCAGCAATCCTTCCACCTCAGCCTTCCAAGTAGCTGGAACTAGAGGTGTGCGCTACCACGCCCAGCTTATTTTTTGATTTATTGTAGAGATGAGGTCTCGCTGCCCAGGCGGGTCTCGAACCCGCAGGCTCAGGCAATCCACTCACCTCAGCCTCCCAAAGGCGTGGGATTACAGGCTGAGCCACCGAGTCCAGCTATTTTTTTTTTTTTAAGTATAGACAGGGTCCTGGTCTTAAGTGATCCTCCCAACTCAGCCTCCCCACGTGGTGGGGTTACAGGTGTGAGCTCCTGAGCCATGAGAAAGTTTCTTGACATGCAGGTGCACACTATAGGTGGCAGTGCTGAGAGAATAGATGCCAAACATCCAGTCTCTTTGTGAATCCCTGGAAGGGGATTCTATACAGATGCAATTTTCCTAAGAGATGGCCTTGCAGGGTCATAAAATAATTTTGATTTTCTTTGTATCTGTTATGTGATGTTATGCCAGAGTCAGGTTGGAAAGTAACCCACATTATATAGGATCAATAAAAACCTGTCTCTCCAGACTCTTCAGTTAGGAATTTGGCAAGAGAGAGAGAAAGGTGATCCACCTCCCCAAAGTAGGAGGCCTCAGCATTTTTGCATATACCTGTTGGCCATTTTCATGTTTTCTTTTGAGAAATGTCTATTCATATTCTTTGACTTTTTTTTTTTTGAGATGGAGTCTCACTCTGTCGCCAGACTAGAATACAGTGGCCACTCCCGGCCACCGCAGCCTCGACCTGCTGGGCTCCAGCGATCATTCCGCCTCAGCCTTCCAAGTAGCTGGAACTACAGGCGCGCGCTGCCACGCCCAGCTAATTTTTGATTTATTGTGGAGATGAGGTCTCGCCAAGTTGCCCGGGCTGTTTTCAAACCTGCGGACTCAGGCAATCTACTAGCCTCAGCCTCCCAAATTGCTGGGATTACAGGCTGAGCCACTGAGCCTGGCCTGTCCATTTCTAATGAGATTATTAAGGTTTTTTTAACAGTTGAGTTGTTTGAGTTTTTTTTATGTTCTATTAGTCTGCCATAGAATAAGTAATTTGCTTGTATTTTCTCCCATTCAAGAGGTTGTCTTTTCACTGTGTTGTTTCTTTTGCTGTGCAGAAGCTTCTTAGTTTAATATAGTCCCTATTTTTCTATTTGTTGCCTGTACTTTTGAGGTCTTAGCCATAACATGCCATAACATCTTTGCCTAGACCAATGTCCTGAGAGTTTTCCTATGGTTTCTTCTAGTAGTTTTATAGTTTCAGGTCTTATGTTTACAACTTTAATTCATCTAGAGTTGACTTTTGAATATAAAAGAGAGAAGGTCCAGTTTCATTCTTCTGCATATGGTTATTCAGTTTTCCCAGCACCATTTATTGAAGAGGGTTCCTTTCCTCAGTGTGTGTTCTTGTGGCTTTGTTGAAGAACAGTTGGCTGTAAAGATGTAGATTTAGTTTTGTTAAGCTCCGGTCAGGCCATGTGGTTCTTTGAGTTATGGCTGCCATGTTTTTCTAGCTTTGGCCCCCTCTCCTATCTTGGGGAGGTGGATCACCGTTCTTACTCTAATTTGCTTTCTAAATAAACTGTACTTTCCACTCTTAAAAATATGTAGATTTATTTCTGGGTTCTCTATTCTGTTCCATTGTTGTATGTGTCTAATTTTTATACTATTAGCATACTGTTTTGGCTACTTTGGCCTTGTAATGAGATACCATCACACCCAGTCAGAATGGCTAAAGTAACAGATACTGGTGAGGCTGTGCTGAAAAGGAAACTCTCATACACGGTTGGCCTAACCCCTATGGAAAACAATATGGAGATTTCTTAAAAAACTAAAATAGAACTACCATACGATCCAGGAATCCCACTACTGGATATCTATCCAAAGGAAAAGAAAGCAGTATATCAAAGGGATAGCTGCACTCACGTATTTATTGCAGCACTATTCACAATAGCAAAGATAAGGAATCAACCCAAGTGTCCGTCAACAGACAGATATGACTTATATATAAATGGAAAGCCATTAGGCCATAAAAAGAATGAAATCATGTCTGCTGCGTCCTGCATGGCTGGGTGGTAAAGGGGCCAGAAAGAGGAATGGCGCGGTATAACACAATTCACAAGACCCTTTTAGAAATAGAATGTGGAGCCGGGCTCGGTGGCTCAGCCTGTAATCCTGCGCCTTGGGAGCCTGAGGTGAGTGGATTGACTGAGCCCGCGGGTTCGAGACCCACCTGGCCAACTTGGCGAGACCTCATCTCTACAATAAATCAAAAAATTAGTCAGGCGTGATAGTGCGCGCCTGTAATTCCGGCTACTTGGAACGCTGAGGCGGAAGGATTGCCGGAGCCCAGCAGGTTGAGGCTGTGGTGGCCGGGAGCGGTCACTGCACTCCAATCTGGGCGACAGAGTGAGACTCCAACTCAAAAAAAAAAAAAAGAAATAGAATGTGGGGGAACCAGGGGGTACTTTGCCTCACAGGACAAAGGCCCAAGTTTCTTTCCCATCAGATTTTTATTAGTACACAATGACACAGTTAAGTAAGGCTTCAAGGACAAAGTACAGACAGTGCAAAGAAAATTCCCAGTTTTGATCTTAAAAAACTTGTGATAAAGCGTGACCGTTTACAAAATATAGTGCAGCTGCTTGCAAGACAACGGATAACTTTTTATCTAACCCAACACAACAGACCCTGCACTTTTAGAACTTGCCTCAGCATACATGCCCATTTGGCTTTGCCATTATAGGCATTTTTGGCTGGTTGTGACTTTGCACATAGCCAAGTATGTTTTCAGTAGGGTTCGAGTAGGGCAGTGGTCTCCAACACATGTCATTTGCAGCAACATGGATGGAACTGGAGGTCACCATGTTAAGTGAAATCAGCCAGACAGAGAAAGACAAATACCACATGTTGTGGGAACTGTGAAACCTGATCTCATGGAGGCAGAGCAGAGCAGAGCAGAGCAATGTGTATCACAGGCTGGGAAGCTGGGAAGTGGGGGGATGAAGAGAGGCTGGTTATGGGTACCACCGTGCAGGTATAGAGCACACGTTTTAGTGTTCCATAGCGACTAGGATGACTATACTTAGCCTCAATTTTATGTATATTTCTTTTTTTTTTGAGTTGAAGTCTCACTCTGTCTCCCAGGCTGGAGTGCAGTGGCACGCTCATGGCCACCACAACCTTGACCTGCTGGGCTCAGGCCATCCTGCCGCCTCAGCCTTCCAAGTAACTGGAACTACAGGTGTGCGCCACCACGCCCAGTTAATTTTTTTAATCTATTGTAGAGATGAGGTCCTGCCAGGTTGCCCAGGCGAGTCCCGAACCCGTGGGCTCAGGCAATCCTCTTGCCTCTGCCTCTCAAAGTGCTGGGATTATAGGTGTGAGCCACCGCGCCCGGCCTAATTTTTTTATTTTTATTTTTAATGGTACCCTCCTGTTCTGCAAGGACATTTAGGCTTGATTCGGCCCAATTTTTTGGTTTATCGAAGAGAGGAGGTCTTGTCAAGTTGCCCAGGCTGACCTCGAACCCCTGAGTTCAGGCAGTTCTCTGGCCTCCGCCTCCCAAAGTGCTAGGATCACGGGCGTGAGCCGCCGCGCCTGGCCTGTATGTTTCAAAGTAACTAGAAGGGGGGACCTGAAATGATGCCAGGACCTAGACATGACGACACCGGCCATCACACGTATAACACACGTGTGCCCTGTAAACACGTTAACTTCTACAGGTCAAAAAAGAGGAAATAACGACCACAACCAGCGCGGGGGGCTA